CTGTGTAGTCACATGCCTGGATAAAAATGCAAGAATTCTCTTGCCATAAAATAGGCGTTGGCAAATTTTTTTCTGGAAAGGGCCAGATAGTAAATATTTTAGGCTACATACAGCTTTTGTCATGTGTTGTTGTTCTTCTTTTTAGATTCTGGGTTGTTGTTATTTTTTTAAACTCTTTATAAATGTAAAAATCCATTCTTAGTTTAGCTTATACAAAACAAGCCATAGGTCAGAGCTGGCACATGGGCCATGGTTTACAATCCCCTGCTGTGGAAGGGAAGGAAACCAGACGGGGAGGGAAGTGACCATCTCTGATGCGACTGCTACAAGATTATAAACACTAAGAAGAATCTTGTCTTGTTCACTTTTCTAGTCTCAGTATAGTGCTTGGCCCATACAGTAGGTGCTTAATGTTTACAACTGATGGATGGATAGGTGGATGGATGGATGGATGGATGGATGGATGGAAAGAAGGTGAGGAGGTTAATTTAACAACCGCAATTTGTTAAAACCCCACTTAGTCCCAATGGTAGTCTCTCAACAGAGATTGTAACTTGAATACTCCAGTCTTTCCAGAGTTTGAAGGAAAGTTTAACCAACAGCAGAAAAGAGTGAAACCACTGGGCTTTCCGCCACATGCACCCCCATCGGCTCATAGAGCCGAGCACTCATTTCATCTCCCAGTTGCAGATGCAGTTAAGTCCCAAATCTTCCATGGCTCAGAGTGGACCTCCCCAATCGACAGCCCTCTCTCTGACCCCTCCTGCAGGAGGGCAGCCCCAGGTGTGTAACAGGTTCCAGAACCACAGCCTTCTGGCTCCTCCCCTTGCATGCCAGAGTGGTGGGCCGGAGAACCTCGTTCCGAATTTGTCCTTAAAACTGTCATAGGCTTGGTGGGAATGTCAGCAGAAGCGTCCGGGCTGAACAGACAGTTTTTAGTTCCCCTTATTCTCCCCCTTCTTACTCAATATCCTGAGGACATAAAAGAACTTTTCTTGACTCGGTCAGCCTAGTGGGGGGAGGGACGGGTGGATCACTCAAGCATTCCCCTGGACATCACCCTGCCAGGCATCAGAAAGTTCCACAGTCCTCAGACTCTACATGCTGAGCAGACACAACAGCCCAAAGTGAGGGGGCCCAGCCCCTGGCCCCAGGAAGATGAGCCACATGAGGCCATCCCCCCCACCTCATTCTGCAGGAGTCAGGTAACCGCTTCTTTCAAATAAATGTGTGAGTTTTTACAGCAGGATTTGGTGCCATCTCCAAATTTTGGCAGTATCGACTGTGATAGCTGAAATAACTAAGAGAAAGACACATTCTGCTGGAAAATAGCCAAAGAGGTGTTCATCAGACACTAAAACACAGCCTCGTTGTGGCCAGAGGGTGCTAAGCAGATAAAAATGTGTCTGTCACTTGCTGTTTCGTAACTGAATAGGGCCTCTCACATGTTCCTGTTCCAGCCTCTGGTTCAGCTGCTCTTAAACGAAGTCTTACAACAGAACAAGAAACTTGGTCCTATTGGGCACAGATGATTTAGTTCACCCTGGCTCCTAACAAGTGTGTGCTCATTCTTTTGATGAGGAGGAGCAAATTTCAATTTCCCCTCAACCTTAAGATCTGGCAGGGGATAGGGACTCGTGTGAAATTTCTACACAGACCAGGGAAAGGAAGCTAGGCCGCCATCAACCCTGCCATCTCAGGAGTCCTGGCAAACAGGGACAAAGGATGACAAAGGACTACAAATGATCTGAGGAGATCTTTCAAAGTGACAGTAACTAAAAACAAAATTCAGTTGGAGACTTTGGCCCTCTCATATGAGTTTCTGCCTCTTCTGAAGAATTCATAAGGCCTTTTCCCATCCTTTTCATGAGAGTTATGATGAGGTATTTCACAGAAGAGCATGGGCCTCTTACTCTGCCTCCTACCAGCTATGTGACTTTGGGTGAGCCACTTAACCACTCTGTGCCTCAGTTTCCTCTAAAAAATGAAGACAAAAGTAGTACTTACCTCAGTGAGCTGTTGTAAGTATAAAATTATATAAAGTTATTGTTTACTAATATGTAATAGTAGATTGTTAATATTTGCCACTTAAAGCAGTTTGGCATTAGGTAGAGATTATTCCATGTGGAAAAATAGATAGGTTTATGAACACAAGGCAAAGTCATGGCTGTGCTTTTCTGTCCATGCTGCAAGACCTGTCAGGAGAGGTTTTATGTAGACCAAAACATGTGCATATAGGAGGCAAGGAATAAACTTCAAATATGATAATAACCCAGAAATTAATGTTACAGGTGAGGGGCAAGAGGAAGACATCATTCTTTCTAGTAAAACCACATCTTTAAAAATCCTCCACTAAAAGTTATCACGAATATCAAAGGCATTGCAGTGTATTCGAGAGACATCCTGGGAGAAGTCAGCCTTCTGTTTTAGAAACAAAAGTCTGGGAAGGATTCCATTTTTCTAGGGGAATTATTTACAAGATTCAAATTCATGCTGCCTGCTTGTCACTTCCATCCACTTAACTACCAGGAGCTTCAAATGCTCCACAGCTCCTGCCCACATCCCATAGGCCCCTTCTTTGGACTTTGGAGCTCAATAAAGTTGTTTCTAGGGGAAATTCACTCTTGAACGTTATGGCTGTCCCATCGAGCAGTCACACTGACACCTAGTGGTCTAAAAGTTAAGTGCAAGCACTTAGTCCATTTTAATCTTTTTGTCAAAGCCCAGGGGCAGTATGTCCCAGGCATGTATTTCTATAGTTGCTGAGTGAAGAGAAGTGGATGTTGGAATCGTCTCTGTATCAGCCACTAGGAATAAACCAAATATGTATGTGTTTGAGAAGAGATGAAAATCCCATGAGAAATTTTAGAAGCTGAAATTACCTGATCGGAAGCTAGTAGAGGGTTTCTCTCATAGATATGGAGAGTTCAGGGCTTGTCCTGTTCTTCTACTTCTGCTAACTGGCCTCCTTACTCGAACAAGAAACAAGTAAAACCATTCAGTATATAAATTCAATGTATGATTTATTAATAATATTGCTGAGTCCGCGCCCTGGATGTTGGTCAGATCTTGCTTCCAAGAGCAGGTTAAATGACACAAAAGCTCACGTGCAACATGTAACTGATTCCTCACTCTGTCTTTCCAAGTCAGGGACAACCCCAGCAGGAATGCCTGCTCTAGGGTGATAACGTATGGTGGCCCAGACAAGGTTATCATGCAAAAAGACTTTCTGGCCTTCATCCTGAATTTCATCCATTTAGGCACTTGGATATTCATAGAAAAACAGCACAAAGCATATTGGACTTTTGTGAAGGTGGGCATATCAGTTTCCTGTGGCTCCTGCAACAAATTATCACAAACTAGATGGCTTACAACAACAGAAATGTATTCTCTCACAGTTCTGGAAGCCAGAATTCTGAAATCAAGCTGTAAACCAGGCCATGCTCCCTCCAAAGGCCCTGGGAGTGTATCTATTCCTGACCTCTTCCAGCTTCTGGTGGGTCCAGGCATTATCTGGCTTGTGGCTATATCACTCCAATCTGTCTTTGTCTTCACATGGCCTTCTCCTCCTCTTATCTTTCTCCCTTCCGTATTTTATAAGAACACTTGTTCCTGGATTCAGTGCCACCTGGATAATATAGGATTATCTCATCAGATGATCCTTAATTAGGGGCTCCTGGGTGGCTAAGTCAGTTCAACTATAATTGTTGAACTATATAGTAGTTCTATTTTTAATTTTTTGAGGAACCGCCATACTATTTTCCATAATGGCTGCACCAGTTTGCATTCCCACCAAGACTGGACAAAGGTTCCCTTTTCTCCACCTCCATGCCAGTATTTGTTATCTCTTGTTTTCTTTTTTGTAATAGACATTCTGACAGGTGTGAGCTGATGTCTCATCGTGCTTTTGATTTGCATTTCCCTGATGATGAGTGATGCTGAGCATCTTTTCATGTGTCTGTTGGCCATCTGTATATCTTCTTTGGTAAAATGTCTATTCATGTCTTCTGCACATTTTTAAAATTGGTTTGCTTGTTTGCTTGTAGGAGTTTTATGGTTTCAGGTGTTACATTCAAGTCTTTAATCTGTTTTGAGTTAATTTTCATGTATGGTGTAAGATAGTGGTCTGGTGTCATTCTTTAGCATGTGACTGTCCAATTTTCCCAGCACTATTTATGGAAAAGACTACCTTTTCCCTGTTGTATATTCTTGATTCCTTGGTCATAAATTCATTGACTATACATGCATGGGTTTATTTCTGTGCTCTCTATTCTGTCCCATTGATCTTTGTGTCTGTTTTTATGCCAATACCTACTGTTTTCATTACTATAGCTTTGTAATACAGTTTGAAGTCAGGTAGCATGATGCCTCCAGTTTTGTCCTTTCTCAAAATAGCTTTGGTTATTTTTTTTTTTTTTATGGTTCCATACAAATTTTCGGATTGTTTGTTCTATTTCTGTGAAAAATGCCATTGCAATTTTTATAGGGATTTTATTGAATCTGTATATTGCTGTGAGTAGTATGGACACTTTAATGATAATAATTCCTCCAATTCATGAACACAGAATACCTTTCCATTTATTTGTGTTCTTCAGTCTCTTTCATTACTGTCTTTTAGTTTCTAATATAAAGAACTTTCACCTCCTTGATTAAACTTATTCCTAGATATTTTATTCCAGATGGGTTTGTTTTCTTAATTTCTCTTTCTGATAGTTCATTATTAGTGTTTATAATCACTTTGGTATCCCAACATGCCACATGCTCCCATTTGTCCTCATGGTTGGCAGGGCTGGTGATTGTCTTATGCATAAAGAAACCCTTAGATGAGCACAGCAGGATAGGATGGGTCATATACCATGAGCTGCTTGAAAAAAATCTCCCAAGGTGATTGTACCATACCCTGTGCTTCTAACTTTCCCTGTCCCGTGTCAGAGGAGACCATCCAAAACACCTTTGTTTATTTAACCCATCAGTTACAAAAATAACATTAGTCAGTGAGGTGTGCTTATACCACTCAAGTAATTTTTTATTGTTTTTATTTATATTAGAGATCTGACATTGGTCCTTTGTGACATTTTTGCCACATTTATATGTAAGTCATTTAAAACGTCTTAAAAGTTTTGAAAAAATATTCTCAATCAAACAAAATTTCATCCGGACAGTAGAATGTCTTCAAAAAGCTTGATCTTGTTGAAAGATCATTTTCTCCTCCATTTCGAGTCATGTTCATTTTCCTCTTCCAATTACTAAAACTAGGGTAAAAAGAAAGAAAATATCCCACTGTGGAAAAATATCAAAACAATTGTATCATTTACAAAGAGTTTTCATTTAATTTAATAATCTTTCAGATACTACTCAACTATTTACACCACTTTTTTGTGGTAAAATATACACAACATAAAATTTGCCATTTTAACCATTTTTAAGTGTGTACAATTCCATGGTCATAAGTACTTTCACACTATAGTATGGCCATTAACACCATCCATCTCCAGAATGTTTTCATTTTCCCCAACTAAATTCTATGCCCATTAAACACTAATTCCCCATCACCTCCTACCCTCAGCCCCCGATCATCACTATCCTACTTACACTCATTATGAATTTGACTACTCTACGTACCTCAGATAAGTGGAGTCATACAATATTTTTCTTTTTATGATTAGCTTATTTCACTTAACGTAATGTCCTCAAGGCTCATCCATCTTGTAGCACTAAAGAGTTTCTTCCTTTTTCAGACTGAATAACATTCCATTGTGTGCATATAACACTCTTTCTTCATCCATTCCTCCACCTTTGACACTTGGATGGCTTCCCCCTTTTGACTTCTGTGAACAACGCTGCTATGAACATGGGTGTACAAATATCTGTGCAAGTCCCCATTTTCACTTATTTGAGTGGAATTGCTGGATTGAAGAATCAGCATGGTGTTTTCCACAGTGGCTTCACCATTTTATATTTTCACCAGCAATGCACAAGAGCTCAATTTCTCCACATTTCTTGCCAACATTGGTGATTTTCTGGTGGTTTTTTTTTTTTTTATAATAACATCCTAATGGGTGTGAAGAAATAGCTCATGTGGTTAAATATTTTAATTAAAGGATATCTTTATTTTAAAATAATAGGTGACTTTCTCTATCGTATTTTCATTCTTTAAGAAAACCACAGAATTTTAAAAATCATAAAAACAAGAAGGGATTTTGGTATGTTTAATTTTTTATTTCTGTTCTTTGAATGAACCATCGATGTTAACAGTATGTGTGTGTGTGTGTGTGTGTGTATACACACACACACACACACACACACACACACACACACATTGCTTTGTATCCAGACAAAAGGAGTTATTTTATATGAATTCATTGCTATCAATCTGATTTTTGCCTTGGGTCTTCCCAAATCATAGCCTCCTTCCCTGGCTAGATCAGTTCACACCCTTCAACTTCCTTCTGCAGCCAGATGAATAACAAACACCATCCCAGGGGAACAATGGATGAACCGAATGGTGCCCCAGGCCCTTGAACTGCCTATTGGATTATTCATGTCACTGACTCTAGGGGGCAGTTGTTTGGGGAGAAAAGAGACCTAATAGGTCATCCAAGTAAACATCCCACCCTGATGTGACACTCACCGAGACCAAACATCAAAAATAAAGCCAGTGGCATTGTTTGTTTTGTCTTCTCTCACCCTTTTCAGATTGCCTGTGATGTTGCAAAGTCCAGCAGGATGTCTTGGCCTCAGGCCCCATATCCCCTGTCTTGCTTTGTCTCCTTGCTCATCTTAGATCTGCTATGGTCGCGACCGACCGTGGGTAGAACAAGTACTAACACACCACCTGCCATAATGAAGGGTTCTTGGGCAGAAGGTAAATCATTAAGGTTAGGTGGAAGACGTTTTGGATCAGAATGAGAAATTTGTCTTCTATGTGAGCTGAGGATTCAAACTGAAACTTGTAACCATACAAGAAGGAAAGAAAGTCATGATTCCTCTGATGTATTTAGGCAAACATGGGATTTAGAGTCAGAAAACCTAGGTTTAGTTCTCTTTTCTACCATGTGCTGGAGCTTGGTTTTTCCTTCTCTGACAATAGGAATAAATCAAGCTTTGAGAGGATCAAATAAGATATTGTATGTAAAATTTTGTCTTAAAATGTGATTATTAGGTCTAATAATAGAATTAGAACAGATATAAAATGCCAAACTCTAGAAATTTTTGCTAACCATGCAAGTGTACATAGTTTGGGGGGGGGGGGGGGTTGTTGAGGGCATTTGGACCCTGAAATGAGTAATCTTAATAAGCACAAATTTTAAACATAGATGGTGGCTATGTGCTACATCCAACAACTACTGGCACATTAGCAAGGAGTCATCAGTTCTCTCAGAAGAAAATGAAGGAATGTATGAAGGAATGGATAAGTGAAAGCCCAGAGCAGCGGAAGCCATGAAGCACCTTGGAAAGATGAGGGACCAGGGGAAAGAGGGTAGCTGGTGTTAAGAGCAAGATATACACCATGAAAAGTCTGAAATTGAGAACAGCACAATTTTAATAAGAAAGGGTGCAACCTGCTCTAACAAGTCCCGTGGTGACAAAGGTGAGAGAAGTTGCTCATCTTGTGACACAGTCTTGTTACTGTGACTTATGGGAGAGGACAAGCGAGGCAAGAGGTGTGAGGTGAACGCACTGTTAAATCCTGATTACTAAATACTGAATGCATTATTTTCAAAGTTCAAAAGGAGAGACGGAGCAGGAATGCAAAGGGGGACACGAAGGGAGGGCTTCATACCGCCATGTTCTGTAGAGTGGGGTTTCAAATTTTCCCTTTCTGTTTGTGGAATCTTTCATAATCCTTCACGTCTAATGGCTAGGTTCATTCTCCTCCATTCACACTCTGGATCCTTTACTGTAACCGGTCTTGATTAACTTGTCAACACCTTCCTCTTCTGAGCCGATTTCTTCTCACAGGACTTTCACATGCTGGGAAGGAAGTCTCTAGAAAACCCCATAGATGGCCTCATCTCCCTACCCCAGCCCACTCCATGTAGACCATACACTTTCGGTTTCTAACTTCCTGTCAAGTGCAGAGAGAGAACTCACGGCCCGGGCTCCCGTGTCTATGTGTGTCTGTGTGTTTGTGTCTGTGCTGCAGGGAACATGGAGACTGAGAAAAAAGGAAGCAGAACATTTCTATGTTATTTTTTCCCAGGTCAAACAGCATCTTTCTCAGCCATCAAGAGTTTTTATTTTAGATCTCGTATGTTTTTAGCAAAGTAAGTTTTATTTTGCTGGTGTGTACTACGTATATATAAAAATAGAATAACCACTAGAAATAGTAAATGAAATTAAGATCTCTTTGAGATGATAGAGTTGGAGGCACAGGAAAAATGAAAGAACTCCACATAATGGAGTGTACTTAAATATTGTCTTAAGATCCAAATAAGCCGCTAGTAAGACATCTATGAAAACACTTCAATTACCTACAAGTTTGTTAGCCAAAATGTAAATTCCTCAGAGACTATCCTCTAATTTATATATTTAGTTAACTCAGGCTGAGTGAATTATACAGTAAGCAAATGTACGTTAAATTTTCTATATAAGCTATGCAAAATGGCTAACAAAAATAAATGGTTTGGGGGCTGTCATTCCCTACCACCAACATCTGACTTCATATTCTCTACATCCTGTCACCATTCCATTAGCATCAAGGAGTCAACAACTTATAGCAGAACAAACTTCAGAAACATGTAAGAAGTCACAGTGAAGTTCCTGATCCATTTTGCTTAAGCCATCAGAAGCCGTGACAAAGTCAGAACCGTGTTGGTGCAGGAGCTATTTGGTAGGATAACCAGAAAGGTTTGAAGGCTCTACTTTGTAGAAAGATGGTGATTTTCAAGCCCAATTTTAAATACAGAAGGTACATAAAAGCCTAAAGCATCAATATACCTTGAGAGTCCAAGGTGACACAGAATTTGGAAAGTGGGCCATCACTGACTGAGCTTTACTTGCTGCTGAACTATCTTGTTTCCTCTACTCCAATTCCCTCTAGAAGAGAGAACACAGTAGGAACAAGGAAAGGATCCAGAACAGGTGCCTGAGGTAATACAAGGGGGAATAATGATGCAGAGGTTTTCTGCTAAGGTACTTAGGCCAGCCTCCTGAAGCGAAATGGCCAAGTTCACCTGTGTTGAGGGGATCCAAGCAACACAGCGCCCAGAGAGACCCCACTCGTGCCAGGTGTTTTCTTCTTCCTCCTTTACGCCTCACAGCAGGAGGCTGGCTGCCGGGCTTGTCTGCAGCTCCATCTTCACCTTTACAAGCCACCGACAGTCCTGTGAGGGCTCCCCCACCGCTTCCGCCATCAGCTCCTCCTACCTGTGCCCGTGCCCATTCTGCAGAGCCTGAGCTTGCCCCGAGAACTCAATTTGTGGTGAGGAGCATGTTCCCACATCCTGTTGAAGAGGGGCCTGGTGCTCCTCCAACCTCGGGGGCTCAGCCAACTGGAATCCATCATGGCCCATTCACAATGAGGTAGAGACTCTGTGAGACAGAGAGCTCTTAAAAAGAGATTCATGAGAGGGGTTCAACACCCTTCAAGAAGCTAAGAAAATCATGTCCCCAGCTATCATGTGTGGGCTCAATCATGGTGAAATTCAAAAAAACTCAGCCCATCAGCCAGTGTGTGTGATAGATATTATGGAAAGAAATGTGCCAGGCATTAGGGAGGTCTTGTTTGGGTGAGTGGTGGCAGAGGGGGGCTGTTTTCGAGGAAGAAAAATAAAAACAGTTCCCTGCTCTTACAACTCACTGGGGAAGAAGAGTAGACACAGTGTGTACTTAAGTTAGAATCCACTAGGTACCTCAATATTTAGAAAGTGTTAATGGGGATGAAAAAGGCGTACTGCAGTTTCACTGTCTCTAGTGCCCAACCTGCCATCTATCATCTTGTGAGAAGTTGTAACAAGTACTGTATTTTCAACCAACTTCTATTAACTCTGTCTTTACAACTAATAGCAAGTAGAGTGGTTTTATTAAGTAATCTCTGACAGTGAATAGTTTTAAGAAAGTTTGTTTTCAGATTAAAGCAATTCCCTTTTCCAAGTTCACTGAGTATAGAAGATTAAGTCTCTTTAAAAAGAAAAGAGGAGTGCCTTTTTTTCTTTAAAAAGAAAAGTCGGTTGCTAAGCGTCCGACTCTGGCTCAGGTCATGATCTCGTGGTTCCTGAGTTCAAGCCCCGCATCGGGCTCTGTGTTGACAGCTCAGAGCCTGGAGCCTGCTTTGGATTCTGTGTCTCTCTCTCTGCTCCTCCCCCACTTACACTCAGTCTCTCTCCCTCAAAAATAAATAAACACTAAAAAAATTTTCAAAAATGACACAAACACATCTTGAGGTAAAGTCAGGCTTCAATTATTTTAAATTCATTAGTTCCCCATGATTCATGGCTGTTTTATCTTTTGTGTGCTTTATAAATGAAACTTTACAAAGATGACACTTTCAAAGACATGGAACTTTGAAAACAATCTTTAGCAACAGTTTTTTTTTGTATTATTTAGTTTTCACACAGGTATTTATAGGCGTTAGATTATATTCTATTACCAAAATGGGGCTCCTGGGTGGCGCAGTCGGTTAAGCGTCCGACTTCAGCCAGGTCACGATCTCACAGTCCGTGAGT